GCACTGCGCTCACCTTACATCACCCAATCACCCTCAACCATTTCACATGAGCGAGCGTTCAAAGATGGAGAGGTCGATGTATGTATAGCCAGAGAAGCCTCCAATGCCCAATACTTCCTTTTGCACTACGCTCACTTTACATCACCCGATCACCCTAAACGATATCATATGATCGAGCGTACAAAGATGGTAGAGAGATCGATGTACATATGGCCAGAGAAGCCCCTAATGCCCCACACTTCCTTTAGCACTGCGCTCACCTTACGTCACCCAATCACCCTCAACCATTTCACATGAGCGAGCGTTCAAAGATGGTAGAGTGATCAATGTGCATATGGCCAGAGAAGGCCCCACACTTTTGCACCGCGCTCGCCATACATCACCCGATCACCCTTAATGATATCATATGAGCGAACGTTCAAAGATGGTAGAGAGATCGGTGTACATATGGCATGAGAAGGACCCTAAGGCCCAACACTTCGTTTTGCACTACGCTCACCTTACATCACCCAATCACCGTCAACAATATCACACGAGCAAGCGACCGTAGATGGTAGTGTCGATGTAAGTAAGGCCTGAGAAGCTTCTAAGGCCCAACACTTCCTTTTGCACCGCGCTAACCATACCATACGATTACCCTCGTCACCCAGTAACATAAGCACGCGTCTAAAGAAGATGCAAAGACCCGTGCACGTTTAGCCAGGGAAACCTCTCTGGCCTCGCAACAAAATTATCTGACCTTACATGGATTGCAACCAACAATATCTTATAAATCGAAAATGTATTCGTTTGGCGCCAACTTGTCACTCGAAACCCCTTCCATGTATGAACATAGAGTTACATGATTGTTTTATGAGTGATTCTGCACGCGTCGACTTTTAAGTTCATCAGTCCCGTAAGCGCAGTGCATGTTTTTTTCTCGGAATGTAGTCGAGAGCTTCCCCCGCGGGTGGTGAGATCCGGCGCCTACCTTCCCGTCGATTAGCGCGCTTTTCCCCGCCCAGGTATCTCCCACCAGCCTCCGCTATAGCCGGGCCGCATGTATTCTTTTTCCACTAGATTTGTGAGTGGGACTTACAGCTCTCTGTTCGGCCAGTGATGGCGGCACGCGAAACGCAAGTGACTGCGTGCTGGCTCCAAAGAGATCAGTGGTGCAGCTCCTCTGAGAACATGCCTATTTGGTATGCGTGTCAGGGTTTGTTGATGAAAAAAGAATTTGGAGCTGAATCTTCAACAGCGAGATGTAAAATAAATGAAAAATGTTGTAACTTGGTTTGTAAACATGAAAGTTAAAAGTTAAGTAAAATAGTGTCGTTAATTTAACAGGTTACTTCAATTACCCAAGTTTGACATACTTTTTTTTTCCAAAATTTATATTAAATGAATCATTGATAAGAAAGAATACAACATAAAAAAACATTATATTAATAATCACATACAACACTTCAAAAGTATTTCCTAACCATACAATTAACAGTTGTTCAATAAAAATTATAAATTATAAAATTGATTGCAAATGATTGTTAAAGTACAGCAGCTATTGGAATAAAACATATTTAAAACAATATGTAAATGCAAACAAATCAGGTTCAATGATAAGAACAATGAATTGTAAGTTGAAATGATAACCAATTGATTGTAGATTATCAGGCAGTAAGCAAACCTAATCATGACTTTGAACATTTTTGAAAAGACAATTACTATAATGGAAAGAATGTTCGGTGTTTAGTAAAATGTTTCTGAAGATTTCTATTCACCATATTATTTATAATATTTTAATATTTACTTTAAATCTGAAGTTTATATGTAAAAATTGATTGTAGTTTAGGGTCAGACTCAATCGTAATCAATGTTATTGTCTGGTCACATACCA